GAGGATGAGGTGGGGGGGGGGAATGGCTGTCAAAACTTGCGCGCGCCGTCGCCCCTCGTCGCCCGCCTCGTCCGTCTGCGACGCTGCGTGGGCGGCAGCGGGGGCGCAGCGATGGAAGGCGGAGGCCCAGGAGAGATGGTGTGATTGGACGGGGATGCGCAGGAGGAGAGGTAAGGAACGTACAATATGTGCGGGAAGGTGGAGATGAGATGGATGCAGGGGGAGGAAACAGATTTAATGAATTGTGTGTTTCAGGGCGCGTAAGCTGCTAATATCATTAGTCCCGTAAGTTTAGTGCACGTTTTATCGCGAGAGGTGACGGTGTTCATTCCTGAGAAGATCGTATGATCCAGCGCGGACTGCACGTTGGCTTCTGGGGATTTCCCGCCTCAAAATATCTCCATCAGCGGGACACCGCCACAGCCTATAAAAGCTCTGGTCTCCCGGCATTTACGGTAGTGTCAAAAATTAAGTGTATGTGTGTGTGTAAGAAGAGAGGATAGAACAATGATGAGGTAGGAAAGATCGCAGTCCGTTGACTGAGAGGCATTCGCCCTATTAATCGGAGAATCCACGGGAAACTACAGAGCAGAGCTGGAATTTTTGTCCAGACGACTGAATTCGATATACCGTAAGTTGCTAGTGTCGACCGCCACCATCGGAACCCTACGTCTTCCCAGTCAGATTATTGACCTGTGTTGAGGCTGGGAAATATTGTTTAGATTAATTGGGAGAGCATTAGCAGAAAGTGGAACGTGTATCACCTTCTCTGTCTTCATCAGACGAAAGAGCTCTGGAAAGAAGCGACACATGATTGACAAAAATTACTTTGCCGAAAGAATAAATGAGTTTTGAAGAGATTGCCATGGCCAACTCTGGACGAAAGTAAACGTTTTCCTTACGAATTTCACATTTGGTGCTTATGCACGCCTCTTTTTCCCCTGCCGCGTTTTCGAGTTTGAGGTCAGAGAGACAGCAGAAATGTGCTGGAAATTGCTTCCCAACGTACCCAATCAATCCTTCCACGCGCTTAATACACGTTTCACTTAGCTTCTCTGCACGATCGCTACGAAACTGCTCGCGGCTCCTCTGATTTTCTAGCAATGCGAGCTCGTCGCCTCAAATGTGCAAAAAAAATGGATTTCGGGAAATCTGACAATGCGTAAAACTTTCGTCGCGGCCGCTTAGGGGTGGGGCTATCTATTGGTGACTTTTAGAACCAGTTGAAGAAGTTGACAATCGATTTAAAAAAAAGCCTTCAAAGAGCAGAGAAACTGAGCTGTTTGAAGCATGGCGCCAAATTTAAATTAATTTGGCGGCCCATGTAGCAACACTGAGAAGTAGCAGTGGGTAAAGCACTTGTGAGAAGACGTCTGTGAGAGTGAGATTCAATTCCGGCGGTGGGATATGTACGAAAATCTTCAGCAGCTACTCAAATAAACTTAGCTTTTGCGACACAACGCGGTCAATGGGAGAACCTTTTAAGACACTTTCGGCCAATGGCCACTACGCTCATGTGCCAAGTAAATGCCTACATTACTTACACACACTAAAGTGTACTTCGCGTTCGGGAAGTAAGTGTACGCGCGACGTTATTGCCCGAAAAATATCTGAGATAAGTTCCTCCATACACCGCGTGAGGTCGCTGAAGCCAAGAGAGTCCGAAGAGCTGCTGACGTCTTCGTACATACCCCTACCAAGACTCAAACACCGAAACACCGCATATGAGGCTCCCTCCTACAGACATCGTGTTTGTGAGAGAGGATAGATGCTGGGCTGGAGGAGGGATAAAATATGAGTGAGTGTGTCTGTGTATGTATGTATGTATATATATATATATATATATATATATATATATATATATATAAAATCGTGATATTTAATTGGGATAATTCGTGTTCGTAAACAATCTACGATATAGATACTTCACAGTCGGGATAGTTACCTAGGTATAATATTCGTAAAAAACCAACCAATGTAATACAAGCAATTTCAGTATTTCCGGAGAGAACACAAACAAAATTCAAAAAATACAATAACTGAGCACGAAAGTAAGTCAAAAATACAATTTCATTCCGCAGTTATTTAGAAAAAGCAATACCAAACACTCAAATTAAAATAAAAGATAAATAATGACATTGTAAGTGAAGCAAATATCGTTTTGGGACCGTGATCGAATTTTTTGTGAATGTTCTAGTTACGCTTTAAATTCGATGTTTGTTTCTTTTAATTTATCGTCTGGTTTATAAAAAAAATGTCATTTCATTGGATTAAGTTGAAATACGAACGTCCGAGAAAACAGACTGAAGCCAAAAAAAAAAATCTCGTGACGTTTACTATCATCATGCTGTAATTCTGCACTCACTTCCGTAGTTTCCTTCTCTATCTCCCTGACGTTGCGAGTGCTGTCGATGAAATTACAAAACAGCGCGCTCACACGCATGCGGAGGATTTTCGAACCTACACTTCAGTCGTAGAAGATTCGAAGCACCCAGTGCGCGCCCGACGCTAGCGACGCAGTGAGAAGAACAGATAATGAAAGGCAGTATATTCAGACGTTTTTTAATTGATTCATTAGTGATTCCCGTTGAGTCAACTGCTAAGGTCATTAGTCGTGTACGTGTTGAGCATGCTCGTTGCTCAACAGGTGGCAATGATCTTCTCGGCTGCGATGGTGTAACGGTTAGCGTACTGGACTGTTGTACCCAAGTTGGCGGGTTCAAACCCGATCAGAGCCGTGGATTTTTAAGGGCGAAAAAATCCTTCGTACGCCTTCCTTCGGAGGGGAAGTAAAGCCGGCTGTCCCATGTTCGTAGATTTACTTGCATGTAAAAGATCCTCAAGCCTAAATGACGCCTCTGAGCTAAATTCAAATCGCCTGTTTCTCCAAGAAATACCTCCTTTCTCTGCTAGTTGATGAAAGGAGCGTAGCGAAATTTGCGTGGTCAGACGGAAGAGCGGGCCTGATGGCCCGAGTCTCGCCACGTAAAATAAGGCAAATTCAATTCAATTCAATTCTCCGCTGGATGGTGAGATCCGGCGCTGACCTAGCGGTCGGCTAACAGGGTTTTCCCTAAAAACAGGTATCTTCCTCCAGCGGGGAACCGCTCCAGCTGGGAAAAATTCCAAGCTTCCGAACCCCGGCATATGTGGTAGTGTGATGCATGAATGTGTAAGAGTTGGTAAGGGGTGAGGTTAGGTCAGGGAAGGGTAAGGAAAAATCACGCGCGGTCCGTGCTCCGGCATTCATCTGGTATTCCTTCATCTGGAAAACTACCGATCAGAGCAGCCGGCCGCTAGACTTCTCGTCCAGACAGTGGCAGAACTCGACCTAGCTATCTGGCCATGGTTGAAAATCCTGCCACAATTGGTATTGGTATTTTGGTAATCCACTCATTGGTAGGCGGGCTCTGATGCACTAGAGTTGGGCAGGTCATGTTTTGATGCAGCTAAAGAGGATTCGTGCTTCTGCTGAGCGTTGGCACATGAAGACTTGAGTATTAATTAGGAAAAATCAACAATTTGTAAGTTCGTTATATGAAAATTGTCATCTCAAAAAGTTATCAGCTTCAAAATCACAATGCGAGGAGAATACACTTATTTAAAATTATTTTTAATGCATTTCAAACATTCATGTTTCTTATATGCCTTAAAAAATGAGTGTACCGAAACATCACATTGAAACGCATTACAGTTCTCAAATGTCCTCTGCCCGATTTATCGACAGAGCTTCTCAAATCCAAGAACGAGGGCCAGACTGCCCGGGGTGGCCCGCTGCAGTTCCATGCGCACTGCTCGCCTTTCACTACATCAGAGACGATCGCGCCCGAGCACTCTCCCTCTCCTCCCTTCGCGGCGGTCGGATTGACTCGATAAGTAGCGGCCAAACCTGCATGGCCCGCTGCCACATATAAAGATGTTTAACACTGGCATTTGCCTCTCATTGATAGACACCTCATCGAGCACTAGTGTTTGAAAGGTGAAGTTCTGAGGCAAAGAGAGATTCTAAGTATCTTACGAACAAAACAACAGTGTAAGTCATTCAGAAAGGAAAAATAAAATTACAACGTTTTTACTTAATGTTTATTTTGTCATTTTGTTAAAAAATATTTTTACTGCAGCATTACTTTGCTAACGATTTCTGTTGTTTTGTAACATTCATAAGCTTATCCTTAAGGCGAGGCGGTTTCAATAAGCATTTATTTCACATGACCGATGTCATAAACCATTTTTTAGAACATAGTGGAGACGTCAGTGTCTTCATTATCAAAACGTGGGACAGAAAACTGCCCAAGGGAATACCATATTTTACCTTGTTTACATTAAAATAAAGAGAACATAGCAGCATTAATAATAAACTTTGATTTTGACATGTCCATCATCAAACGCGCAGTATCTTATTTACACGTTATATGACATTTCTGAAACAAAATAAATAATATTCTCAATATCATGAATTGAAAACCTGATGGTTTAATATTTATAAAAGTGATTCTCACAAAAAATTTGGCCGTGGAAAAAATATATACACTAGAATTCTCCCTATTTGTAATTGCAGCCTGCTGGCTTCAAGCTACGCTTCAGGTTAAATCATATATTTCTCTTTTTTGGAGCCACATCCACGATTGTTATGATACAACAATATGAACGCAAATTCGAATTGATGGGACTAGTGGAATTCCTTGCGATTTAATCCTGAAAATTACTTACTCCGTGTGAAGTGTAGCGGAAACGCACATTCAAAAATGCAAATGCGACTTCGAAGTGCACTGAACTGCACAATCTAACAAGGCGCACAAGAGATGTGCTGCAAATAAATTAAATAAATAAATAAATAAATAAATAAATAAATAAATAAATAAATAAATAAATAAATAAATAAATAGCGAAATGCATTAGCATTTTGCAAAGCATTCAGCTATTTGCTTTCGTAATGGTAAAATGCATTAGCACCATAAAATTATGCCATGGTGCCTTGGCCCAAGGTGGACGCGCGGAATGGACCGCCGGCCCTCTAGCCAGCCCATTTGGAGTTGTGTTGGAATCCGGCCAGAATTCCTAAATCACTCCGACAAAATCCCGGGATCGACATTTCCTCATTTAATTTTATTTATTTCTTTTCGCTTAGTTTGATTTTATATTCCACTCATTTGAGCCGTTTTTCCAACAGTAAGGTTGTCGGCCCAAAGGTAAACACTACTCACACAGTCGGGCACATGCAAACATACATTTCCGAAGCGGAAACCCACGATCTTTCGTGGTTATTCAGGGCGGTCATTAATTTTTGGACTCTAGATTTTCTATTCTTTTGCAAAGTGCGTTGACGGTTGCAGGTATTTTTACGCCGCAAAATATTTTCCTTTAGAGTCGAATTCAAAATATTTATAGTTTTAAACACTTGACGACGTATGCTAGTCCCATCATATCTCTTTCTTGGTACATCACTAGTAAGTAACTTCGAGTAAAGCGGCGTGTTTATGCCCCTTAAAAGCAGATTTACTGTGGCCATTCCAGTGATGATTCCTTGGGACTTCTTGGCACACTACAAAATAGGAACTTTCCGAAGATTATAATATTTATTATAATATTAATATTTTTAGGGGTGTGGGTACTTTTTGGTACTTCTACTTCGTGGCACGGTTGGCAAGACACGTGCGTAATCTCGATTTCTTTAAATTTGGTATTCACCTCATAAAATCTATTATTATTATTATTACTATTATTATTATTATTATTATCATTATTACTATTATTACTATTATTTTTGTTATTGTATAAAGATTATGGAATGATCGTTGGGGACCATTCGTTGAAAGACATCGGAAAAAGCAAAGCTTGGTTGAAAAAATTGAGTCCCTGGCTGAAGGAATAAATGCACTGACTGACTGCGACGCTACGAAACAAAAGACAGAACTTAACGGAGGATTACTTCAGAATGCCCATCAAGGACTAAGAGATGCGTTGCTAAAAAGAAGCAACAATTTGTGTTTTAAAATAAACTTGGTTATTGTTAGAAACTTTTACTCATGACGTTTCGTGTACACTTCCCTATGCTCATCACTTTTCTCACAAACAAATACTGAACCGTCACGACTTGTACATAGTAAGATAATGGGAGGTGGCATAACCTTGTGTTACTGGATCAGTGTATAAATAAAATTATATTATTGCTACAATTATTACTTGAATAATTAAATCGCCAAAGCCTCTGGCCCACTGTGCAAAGCCAGCTAGGCAGAAGCGAGAGTAGTGCGCGGGAGGAGGGGAGCGAGTAGGGGTGGAAAGGGGGTGGGGAGGGGCGGGGCATGTGAAGGCGGCTGTCAACCGTGAAGGGCAGCGACGCGCGGCTTGTACGCGCTCCACATGACGTAATATCCGGCGCGCGCGGCCTGATGGTCCTGTGTTTGTGTTTCCCGTCCCACTCACCCCCAGCCTTCCCCTCCCCTCCCCTCCCCTCCCCTCCTTTCCTGGCCACCGCCACCGCTTTTGTGTACACGCTGCCAGGTTCGTTCGCCCGAGCGCACACACACTGTTTTGATTCCAACATTTATTTTTCTTTTCTTTGTTGCCAAAAATGTTGTTGATAATCCTTGAAATATTGTTGATGGACAAGCCTGCCATGCTGATGGCGCCTATGTGGTCTCGTATAATTGGTTCATTGGAATGCGTCACAGTTGAAATGTGTAAACAGAAATATTTAGGAAACCGACAGCCTCTAAGACGTCCATTTATTCTTGATTAAAAGCGCTTTCACGCATTCTCACGGCTCATAAGATCTGCGAGGGAAATGCACGACGATCGCTTTGCTGTGCGCTGCGTCGTGAGCAAGAATTTACTGGTCCAAGCACCAGAGGAACAAGTCATCGCATTTTTGGAGATTTCTGTGGATGCCCTCTCATAAATGGTGCAAAACACTCAGCTTTTGTTCTATCACATTTTGAGGGATATTCTGTACATCAATGTAACTAAAGGGTTTCTTACAAAGAAACTTTATATCATCTTCAGAATAGAAATGTGTTGGTAACGATCTAATTTACACCCCAACACACTAAAGCCTCGTAATTTATGTTAGCTCCTATCTTCCACTACTCATTTGACCTCCAATCTCGCCATCAGATACAGAGTCAATAACAGTATCGTTTATATTGATCAGTTCCCTCGCTGAGCAGACAACGTATCTGATTGCAGAAGGCGTTTGTGGGTGTTTTCGACCGCTCGCCAAGAGCGCTACATCTACAGAGCCATGAGCGCGCAAAGAGAAAAGGCTACTAAGGTAGATTTAACTGGAACTGCTGAAGCGGGCCTCAACGCACTTTCTTCAGGAATCAGGCTGTCATACCAGCGCTGACGCTCTAAATTACAAAGAAGCTATTGCTTAGGGTCAACGTGTGTAGTCAACACAAGAGGTGGGGAACTAAAATCTTGCCTTCAAATTCACCCACCCCGCATATATGAAGTTGTAAACATGTCCGACCCTACGCCGCCTCCCTGATTGAAGTTTTATGCAAGGTGTGGCTATTAATTTCCAGGACTGCTCCAACAACAACAGAACAGATGATGTGAAAAACGCAGCCTTTTAATGTGTTTAGAAGTAACCCCCATCTGCCGTAATACACTTCAGTGCACCGCTGTATAAGTTGTGGAAACAATTTTTAAAGTCCTCTGTCGGAAGGCCCTTCAATATCGATGGCACGTTTATCTTGATATCTTCAACATCCACAAAGCGTGTTTCTTTGATCAAAGTTTTCAGTCTGGGAAACAAAATGAAGTCTACGTCCGTTTTCGACAGAATGGGAGTTAGTTTCTGTTGCATGACAATGCCCGCCCCCACATTGCGTTGCCAGGGAAGAGGTTTTTAGCCAAGCACGAGGCCGTGGAACTGCATCATTCGCCAGACTCTCCTGACTTGTCCCCCGCTGACTTCGTTTTGTTTCCCAGACTCAAAACTGATCAAAGTAACCCGCTTTGTGGATGTTGATGGCATCAAGAAGAATGTGACATCGACATTGAAGAGCCTTCTGAAAGAGGTCTTTAAATGTTTCCTCAACTTATACAGCCGAACCCAAGAGTGTGTTACGGCATATGGGGATTACTTCCAAACATATTAAAAGGTTACGTGTTTCACATCATCTGTTCTGGTGTTATTGGGGCAGTCCTGGAAATTAATAGCCACACCTTGTATTACTGGGTGTACTGAATTGCATATGACTTGCTGAATAGTACTTTATCTAGCACTCCAGACAAATGTAAATTCTTCCCCTCTATTTTGCAATTTTTTCACAATTGAGACATACCAGTGGGCATGAAGCCTTCTGACTTTTTGGGAAAATTATCATTATTAATTTTTATAATCACCTAATAGTCCAAACCACCTGATACTTAACTTACTCGACAATAGCCTTAAGATGAATGCTTGCCTGATATTACAAAAAAATCAATATTATATTAACATATCTACACTGAACATATTTGTATTTTTATACATTTAAAAACACATAAATGGAACAATTTTTATTATGAATAGTAGAAGAAGTATTATTTTAGTATAACCTCAATTTAATACTGGTAGAATTGGAAGCGGCTGCCCGTTTCTAATTTTGAAGATATCCACATTGTTAGTGCCAAGGAAGGGGATTGAGAAGAACCGCGGGAGGGGATAGAATTTCGGTCCCACAAATAAAAGCCCTGACAGGGCTGCAGAAACTCTCGCCTGACTTCAGTGGTCTGGAGTGCACGGGGGAGGGGGGAATACGGACGAAGCCTCATCAGCTCCGCAAGAATCAATATGGTTTTGTGTGTATTGAGCTCGTCTTAATAAACTGTCCTGAACTGGGAGGAATTTGGGAAAGGGTGGTTTATAAACTCGGATGGATTAGTGTACATTTTCCTTCGACCGACCTTAGAAATAGAAGCACTCTAGTAGAGGGGCGTCCAACCTAGGTTTTCGGGAAGTTGAAGTGAGGGCAAGTTCTAGTTTATATGCTAGTCTGATGGGTATATGCACAATAAGAGGGATATACGGTATGACTAAACGCCAAAAGTCCAATCCAGAGCTTTTAAACAATATGTTTTGTCAAAGGCGTACTTTAGAGCTTTAGTTCACAATCATGTTTAGGACAAACATTGTAAAATAAAATTTTCAAGAAGGGTTGATGAAGATCTGTGTTTTTATTTGTTCTCTACGTAGCAGCACCTAACTGAATTGCCATAGAATTCAATTCTGTCGAGCATTCTTCCAGAGTTCTTTCACAATCCCGCACATATGGCGTGTCCCCTGTGAATTCTCCGACCTTCGAAACTGCACGTGACTCACCCGGGATCGCATCCGCGCTTTGGGGATTTAACGGTCGATGGACTCACCGAACACTCACCGAGGAGCGTCATAAATTTAACTCGACCCTCTGTTTCGCCGGCTAACTTCACACAACTCGGTCGCTCGCCCGTGCGAGATTTCTCGCGAGCGAAATCATCCGTCGCTCGATGATTGGCTGCCTCGCAATGCGAATCGTGCGATTGGAAAACAAGAGAGATGGAGATAAAACGTCGACACGGCCCTTCTGCAGCATTCTGCGCTTCCACTGGGGTGGTGTTCTATGCGAGACTCGCGCAACGCCCAGAAATTGAAAAATATAATAAACTAGCAAAATACCTTAAACATTTTCTTCATATCCAATTCTTGTGAAAGAGGAAAAAGATTGAATTTGTTATAAACCATGGTGTTTAAGATAATTACACTGGCACACTAAATAAAGTTTAGTCAGACCCAACTTGGCACGTGTTCCTCTACGTATGTCGACGCGCTGAATCCGAAGCGAGAATTGCGCCACCCCTTTCTATTTGTTTTTTAAATCGCGAAAAACAGATGCGAATACTAGAGTTTGATGTCTGGTAGCATTATACTCTACAGAATCCAAAAGTTGTCAGACCCCAAGACTTGGCACATGTTTCTGTATGTATGTCGACGTGCTGAAACCGAATCCGAAGCCAGAATTGCGCCACCACCTTCTTAATGTTTTGCTTTTTTAAGCGCAAGAAACCGCCGTGAAATTGTGAATTGTACATTTCACGGTAGATTTTTACCAAAAAAACTGAAAAGTGGTGGCGCAATTCTGACTTCAGATTCGTATTCAGCTCGTCGACACGCATACCAAAATATGTGTCAAGTCTTGATCATGTCAAATCTGACAACGTTTGGGTTCTGTATAGTATAATGCCACAAGACACAAAAAATCTAATCCTCGCATGTGTTTTTCGCCATTTAAAAAAATTAAGGGCGGTAGCGCAATTCTGGCTTCGGATTCGAATTCAGCGCGTTGACATACATGTGGCAACATGTGTCAAGTCTTTGGGTCTGACCATTTTTTTAAATTTTGTGTGCCAGTGTAATTATCTTAAACATTATGGTTTATAAAAAAATCATTTTTTTTCTTTTTTACGAGGATTGGATATGACGAGAATGTTTAGGGTATTTTGTTATTTTACTAGCATCGGTAGGTCCTAGGTTCGAGTCCTGACGGTTTTGACTCTAGTTAGGTATCTAGGTCGAATTCAGCTAAATATCACCAACGTCTGTGGCATGTTTAAGTGTCAAAGATGGTCACTATTAGCAAATCAACACGTTCAGCAAAATATCATGTAACGAAGTTACGTAAGTGACATTTCGCCTTTGTGTTATGCTACCCACCATGCACTGACGTTCCGCGGGTTCATAAAATATCTTGTGACAAAAGGGTTCATAAAATATCTTGCGACAAAACGTAATCTGCCCAACATCAGTACATATTAAAGTGCAAATGTATAGTATTATCTCAGTTATATACTATACCGTTTCATTTTAGTATATTTCTTAATTTTACGGAACTCTTATATAAAAGCTACATATTACTGTGTAGATAGATAAACATCTTTCTATTTATTTCGCATTCTATACATATAACATTGCCGATAATACTAATTGAAATTCAATGCTGTCTCATGCGTTCGTAGTCTTCCGCGGCCGGTGTCAATACATTTTTGGCTATCCGGGATGAGCCGCGTCACGGTCAATTGTGCTGACGTTTCGGCCATCTTGCTGTGGCAGTCTTCAAAGCTATACTGCTGATTGCATCTCGGATAGCCAAAAATGTAATGTTGTCAGAGTCTGATGTAACTTTCATAAGAACGCATAAATGTGTAGTCTCTCGAGATTTTCTGCGTATTTGCACGTTTTAGGTGAAGGCTCTATCTAAGCATGAAGCATAAAAGAGACCTTCGTTTGAGGTTAGGTTTCTATACGAAGCTATTTTCACTTTCGAAACCATGGTTCATGAAGTGCACGAGATTCTACGAGTTCAGAGAGAACTTGTGATCAAGAGTATCCGGACACGTATCTGAAAATGACTCACTACTTCGTAGCGACTTCTATCGGTAATTCTGGAATTCAATAGGGTGTTGGCCCACCCTTAGCCTTAATGAAAGCCTACAGTCTCGCAGGCATACTTTCAATCAGGTGCTGGAAAGTTTCTTCGGGAATGTCAGCCCATTCTTGACGGAGTGCTGCACTGACGAGAGGTATTGATGTAGGTCGGTGAGGCCTGGCACGAAGTCGCCGTTCCATCGATCCTATCGAACATCCCATCTAATCGAACTTGAATCCTATCGAACATCCCAAAGGTGTTCGATAGGATTCAAGTCAGGACTCTGTGCAGGCCAGTGAATTACAGGGATGTTATTGTCGTGTAACCACTCCGCCACAGACCGTGTAGTATGACCAGGTACTCGATTATGTTGAAAGATGCAACCGCAATCCCTGAATCGCTCTTCAACAGTGGGAAGCAAGAAGACGTTTAAAACATCAACATAGGTCTGTGGCGTGATAGTGTCACACAAAGCAACAAGGGGTGCAAGCCTTCTCCATGAAAACCCACACTATAAAACCAATTTCGATGTGTCTGGATGATTCTGATCACATAGTGTATTTTAATGATAACAATACACCTGTGCGAGAAAAGTGTACATTTAATCTAAAGAATGTTCTATATTATGTTCGGTCTTACACTACAATTCTCAATGAATGGTGTCCCCATCCCAGAAAAAGAATTACTTTCCTTCCTAAAATGGAATGTGCACTAATTCTGGGAGATGTCACGTTAGTTGGCAACACTGGTCACAGCTGCTACTTCGTCAATCGCTTCAGTGTGCTCAATCAGGAACTGCTAATTCGATCTGCGGCTTCCGTCTGACCAATTCGCTGTAGGCAGTAGAGGAGGAGATAGCGACAAAGGGGAAGAGAGACTATTCGAGAGGAGATAGAAACGAAGATAGCTCTGCGGGGTCTGCTTCAACGTTATTAGAATGAATTGATTTCTCAACCATCCGTTCATAATTAACAAAGCTATCTTTTCTTGAATAGCAGTGTAACACATCAAAATAATTTTAAAAAATGTTGAAGTTCTATTTTCTTTACGTTTAGTACCCATCAGTTAAATGGCTGTATTGGAGATGTCCTTCCTCCAAGTTCGTGCATTAAAATTGACACTTCTCATATAAAGACTTTCATTCTCTCGAACACTTAGAAAAATTATTCGAGTCAAAATGTAGTAGAAGATCAGCCAATGCACCGTGGTACGTGACGAATGAAACACTACGTCGAGACCTTAAGATACCTTCAATATATGAAGAAATCACTCAGCACCCCCTACCAAGAGCGGTTAGCCAAACATCCAAATCCATCAGCCATCAATCTAGTGGATAATAGTGAGGAAGAAGATCGACTGAAAATATATCATATTCTGGAATTACCATTCCGTTTCAAACAACCCACATGACGATGTACTCTAGCTTCAATTAATGCATGATTATCGCATTTACTGAATGTTTGTTAAGAAAACAGACTGTAAATAAACAGAATAATAAAAATAAAAAAATAAAAAATTAGAAAAACAATGTTCCGTTTCAATAATGGAATCAACGAATTGTTTCTATAATTGTGAACGAAAACTTTTATTTACTCAAACAAGGTAGCCTAGATATAGAGGCATGTACGTCCAATTGTGAGGTCATCGCATGCAGGCATCGGAACAGTGCAACAAACAGAACAGAGGGCACTTCAAGCGTACTACAATACAAATCAATAACCTAAAGGCTAGTTTGGCTTACAAGAAGATAACAACATTTAACATAACTTGGGAGACACTCATGTTTTGTGGGTTCAATAATAATAAATTGTAACGATTTATGTTTTCGCGCGCCTCAACTGCTGTAGTCATTAGTCCTTTGAATGCAGTAAATGTTTTTCGTTGAAGGTAGTAGAAGTGTTCCTCTCCTTCTGTGAGATCTGGTGTCGACTTACACTCGGCTTGCGGGGAATTTCCGCCTCAAGGTATCTCCCAGTCGTGCAGCCGGGACAAACCCCAAACCCCTAAGCCCCCACCTGGTC